AAAAATTATTAAATGAGAAAAATTCACATTGCGATAAACGTGTTTCTATGTCTCAGGGAGTGGAAGTGCAGTGCTCTCAGGAAGGGACATTCATGACAGAAGTGAACAAAGGGATGAGGAGAGAGGGCGAGAAAGGGGAAGACATTTAGACACCCAGGGTGCTTGAGTACTTCTCCTATTTTCAGTCTTAGGATGAGACAGGGCTCATTCGTTGTCGTGAATTTAGTTGGTATTTTCGGGAATGCATCAAAATGATGGCAGAAGCATTTGTAGCTGAGAGCAGAGGCAGCAAGGGACGAGTGTGCAGACAGGCCGGGGACAGGCTTGCTGTGCAGGGGACACTGGGCACTGGCAGTCACGGAGAATTCAGGAGTCGGAGGCGGGCTAGCTGTTACGATTTGCGTCGACTCAAGCTTCCCGTCTAGCCAACATTTATTTAGAACACATTCCGAACTGCGTGTGACGCTACGGGCTGAAGAAGAAAAGGTGACCAAGGGAATGGTCCCTACCCTCCAGGAGCTCCTAAGCAAACAGGCTGGAAATCAAAATTAGCCCTCAAAATTAAGTTAAAAAGTTAAGAAGAGTCAACACTGGTCCCACGGTTCTAAGAGTAAGAATAGCGGTTGCCTCTGATGGGGGCTAGGGAGGACGGGCTGGAAGGAGCAGGAAGGACATTTCTTTTAAACAAGTAGTACAGAGAGGAAAGGGATATTTGGGCCAAGAGAACCTCAGGCTCAGGGCTTTGTACGCGCAAGGCGGGGTGGAGCCTGCCAACTGCCAAGTTTGGTGGGGATTTAGGGTAAAAAGATGATGGATATGACATCATGTGATCAGAGCCATCTATGCCATACAGAGGAGTCTAGACATGCTCCTCTAAGCCATGGGTACCACTGACAATTTTCAGCCTCCTCCCCAAGTGGCTGAGGCTGCCCTGTCTTGGAAGCTAGGGGTTGGTGGCCTGGCTAGGGAGAGAAAAGCAGGCCTCCCAAACTCCCATTCCCAACAGGAGGGAGGAAAGAGGAAGAGAATTGGGAGAAGCATAAAACAGCCGTCACAGTGACATGTACCCAGTGCGCTGAAGGATTATGGGGGTGGGGGTGGGGGGTGAGAAGCAATTGTATCTTGTATCCAGGCTGAATTCCTGAAACTCCTCCCCCTGCCCAGGAGGGACAGTACCTGGAGTTTTTGTCGTGACCCTCCAGGATGATGGTCCCTCTTTCCTGTCTTCAGGAGGGATCTCTCTCTTTCTTGAGCTGCCTCACGATATGTGTTGCTCCTGCTGTTTTTTTGCTTCTATCAAACAGTGACATCCAGGTGTGCAACCTACACGCCTGAGAGCCTCTGCTGTATATAGGGAATTCCTAAGTCTTTCTGCACCGCCAAACTACGACTGGCTTTCGTTGCTATTTCTCCCACGTGGAGCATCCTCCTTCCTACCTGTCCGGCATGTTCCGGATGTATTCCATCCTGCTCAAATCCCACTCACTTGTCGTTCGACATGGCAGACCCTCCCTGATCTCGCCCCTTCCAGGACTTCCGTTGCAAATCCTGCCAATAACTTCCTTTCACCTCTCCTTCCCCGCCATGCTAGTTCCGTTTCCTCCGCGAGGAGGAAATAGAAGGTCATTAAACTCAGCAAAGAGCCTAAAAGCTGTGTGATTTCCCCACCGGCTAGGGAACATAATAAATTCTTAATAAATATTTATCAGTGGATCGATGATTGAATTGGGAACATCCAGACCCCTGTGGGGGACCATCCGTGCCAAATCAGAAGTCGAGAAAGTGTATCCATTTCCACTGACCCTTTTCAGGAGCTAAAGGTCCTCCCTGGACTTCCACTCGGGGGAGAGCATGGGGCTGGGGATGGGGTGGATGGAGCAGCAGAGGCGGGTGGAGGGCAGTGTGGCTGGGATGTCATGGGATAGTTAATCCCGATCTCAGATGACCCAGGCTGTGGAGCTGTGTCCCCACACCCTCCATGAAACACATCACAGCTGTGCAGCGAGTGCTGGGCAAAAAAACGAGGTCAGGTTCACGTCAAAGCCAGTGCGGCTCACAGGTGGGCTCAATTTACTGGATTCACAGCAACTGTCGAGTCATTACCGAAATTGCAGATGTGAACCAGCCTACCTGCTGGGGAGAGAATTTGGGATATATTGTGAACTTCAAAAAGTTTCTCCCTGGAAACCGAAGGAGTAACCATGGCAACCGGGAGGCAGGTTGAACTCAGAAAGGGCTCTTCCTCTTGAGCCCAGAGCTTTGTGCTCTTGGATTGGATGTGCTTTGTCTCTCTTGCCTCTTTTGCTTTCTTTGTCCAGTGGGAGAAAGCACAGCTCAGGAATCTGGAGAGCTGGTCCTGATTCAGCTCTTTTCCGATCCAGGGCACTTAAGTGAGGGTACCTTAGGCACTGGCTGTTGTGTTGTCTGCAAAATGGAAATTAAAAGGCTCCTCTGGCTTATTCACAGGGATGCAGATGGAACAGGAAGGTTTAGGGAGATTCTGAGCATAATCACGATTTTTGTTGTGTGTGGCCATGTCTGGGCCGATTCCAACATGGCACTCCTGAGGGCAGGAACCGGCATTCGCTTCACTTCATCCATAAACTTGCTTTCATCGCTTGAAGAGAAGCTGTCCCAGACACCACCCACGTCTCCACCTGGCAGCTGCACAATACAGTCGTGCCCCGGCCCCTGAGGAGCCCAGGTGACACAGGAGGTCTCTCCTCAGCGGACCCATGCCTCCAGAGAACATCCTGCTGGTGGGGCAGTGGGCTGCTTCCTTGTGTGGATGGAGGATTATGCTGAGAAACACAGATGTTCAAAAGGCGTCCTTCCATTGCCTGGTTGCACACCACAACCCTTGGCCTCTCCCTGCTCTAGGCCAACCTAGTTGTGGCCTCGTGAGAAAGGAAGAAGCAGAGATGGGGGGTGGGGTGGGAGGTGGATCGCTGGCATCCGGTATGGGGCTGCCAACGTGTGAGCTTCTCCACACCCGCCTTGTCTATGAACCCACTGGCAGGTTTGGGAAAGGTTTGACGCTCCTTTTCAGGGTACATTATGTTTTTGATGAACTGAGTCACCTTCTGCGGGCCCTGGGTTAACTAGAGAATCTGCTTTGACAGATAACCCCACACGTTGCTCTGATTTGGGCCTCTTTTGCTCAACTACTATCTCCAGGCCTTCCTGTCCCCTCCCCCTTTGTGGTTTCAACCTCTCCTTCCCCGACCAACTTTTCTGGGCTGTCTCACCCAGCTGTCTAAGCTGGGGATCTCTTCTCTTATCTCTCTTTCTCTATTCTGACCCTTTATTTCAAGGCCTTGCTGGAGAACCGCAACTCCTAGATGGCCCTCATGAAATAAAAACCTAAATTCCAAGAGATACAAAAAACATACTACTTTTCCTTATTGTCTAGCAAGTCTTGTGTCCCTAGCAAGTAAGTCTGAGAGCTAACATTTATTGAGTGCTAACTATGTGCTTGGCACTGATCTAAGCATCTTACTGGGGATGTTGGGGTACACGACCATCATCCCCTGTTCAGGACCTCAGCCCTCACTGTCCAACCTATTGTCTGCTGTAGGCTGTCAGCACAGTCCCTCTGGCCTTAACAGAGGGGGTTGCCTTGCTTAAGATTAAGCCACGTTCTTGGGACAACCACATCCAATGAATGGCCAATGCATACAAAGGCCCTGGGGCCAACTGCATTCTCTGTTGCAGCAACCTGGCATTTAACTCTTCCCTCTGAGCAACCCTGTTTCTCTCACTCTCTCTCTGGTCTGAGAACTCTCCCCAGCAAGACTCTGCCTCAGGGCAACTCTTTCCCATCTCCTGGGGAACTCAAACTAAGAATTAACGTAATCCTCACATCTTTATGAAATAGGTGTATCATATGTTCATCTTAGAGATAAGGAAACCGAGGCAAAGAAAGATTAGGAAGTTTGCCCAAGGTCTCCTATCAGTAGGTGGTGGAGCCATGACTGGAAACCTGGAAATCCAGCTCTGGACTCCACACTCTAAACCTCACAGACAACTTCATTAATAGTAATCCCAAGGGAGAGCTGAGGGGGAACGGTGGGAGGCGAAGGGAGCTGTAAGGCCTTTATGGGAAGGTGAGAGAGGGAGGGCATTTCTTACCTTGACCTCAGAGATAAGGACACTGAACTAGCTGCTGCTTAAACCCAGGATCATTCATCAGTTTACAGAGGAGTGGGGATTCTAATTTTGGCCGGGAGGGCAGTGGAAAAAGCGTAGCAAATTCGTATTTGAATTCTGGTGTAACACTAATTGCGTAACGCTGAGCAAATTATTTAACCTGACTCTTAGCAAAGATGCCTGGCACACAGATGCTCAAGAAAGCGTCCAGCCCCCCCCCCACCCCCCCCCCGGCCATTGGTCTGCTAATTCCAACCCTCTGATCTTGGGTAAGTCTCTAACTTTCTGACTGCGTTTCTTCCTCTCCGAAACGGAGGAGATGAGATGACGAACTGCGGTAAAGGGCTTCCTTAGCCCCCCGAGCATGAAGGAGCACAGTAAAGGGTAGTAATCAGTGTAATCCCGACGCCGCCTTGCGCGGCTTGCGCCTTCGGCTCCCGTCGGTGCGGACGGGGCAGGTTCGGGCGCAGGCTGCGATCCCCACTGTGCGTGCCTCACCGGCTCGCCACCCCCTACGCAAATCCGCCCGCTGCCGCTGAGCTGGTTTTCTGATTTTACTAGAGGCGGACGGGTTTTTTCCTACTAAACTGAGTGGGCGCTTCTCGGGCCGTGTGACTTCCCCGCCGCTTCTCCTTCCGCACGCCGGTGCAGCCGGGTGGAGAGGGCAGCCGCGCGCGCCCAGCTGGGGGCAAGTTGCGGGCGCCCCGCCCCGTCGAGCTCCCGGGCCCCGCCTCCACCATCCCCACTCGCCGTCCCGCTCTCCGATTGGTCGGCAGCGCTCAGCCCCGCCCTGCTCCCTCCGAGGGAATAAAAGCCGCGGGGGTAGCGGTGAGTCCGCGCGTGCAACCCGATAAAGCTAAGAAGCTTTGGATAGTGCCAGCCGCCGGCCCTGGTCCTCGTTCGCCGTGACCGCTGGAGTCCGTCACCATCCTCCCCGCGACGTGCTGCCCCGAACCCGCAGCCATGTGCCGGACCTTGGCCGCCTTCCCCACCACCTGCCTGGAGAGGTAAGAGGAGCTTGTCCGTGGGTCTTCCAGCTGCCCGCACCAAGTCCAAGTCCCACCAGTCCTTAGGGAGTAGAGGGACAGGCTTGGGGACCGGGCGGGCAGGAGAATGGGACTCTAGTGACTTGAGTGGAGAGGCAGAGGTCACCTTGGTTCCAGGTTTTCAGATGCCTCCTTTAGAGTCTTAGAGCAGCGACGGGCCAAGAGAAGGGAGAAGGAAGAACCGCGGGAAGCAAAGGAATCACTGCTCTCTGTCATTCCCCGTCTTCTGAGGAGTGGCAGTCCTCAGCTGACCTGCCGAAGACAGGGCTGCAGAAGAGCTCAGTGGCACCGGCAGGCGGAACTCCCTTTTCTAGTTTCTTCAGCACTCGGTTTTCATTCTATTTGTGTGCCGGGAATCCCATTCACAGCCCAGGTCTAGGAGCGAGGTCTGTCCGGGCCCTGAGAAGGCAGGGGGGTGTTTTTTTTGGGGGGGGGGGGGGGGGGCGGCGGGGGGACCCGGTGAGGAATGCGCCCACTTCCCAGGGAGCTACTGAACCACGTCTGGTCCTTGCTGGAGCTGGTGGCTGGGAAGGAAAAGATGAAGAAGGTGAAAACAGGAATCAATTTCCGCACAGTTCCCAAGATATTCCTGATAAGCCTAGAGGGTGCGGAACTGCCTTCTGCTCACCAACAGCCACAAAATAGAGCAGTGTGGCTTAAGTGGGGAAAAGCCCACGTGTGCTGTGCTCTAAACTCCTAAAGTTTAAGTCCTACTGAGAAACAGCTAAAGGATTACTTTCATTGTTCTGGGTTGGTGATATTAAGAGACAAGCAGAGTTTAAGCCCTGGAAACAGCTGAAGTTTCCCAGGGACCCTTGAGGCTGGAATGAGGGGACACCAGCCTAAAGTCTTTGGGACCCCATAAACCTTTTTGCCCTGGCTGAATCAGTATAGGATCCTACATGTTCCTGCTTTGTCTTCCAGAGCCAAAGAGTTCAAGACACGGCTGGGGATCTTTCTTCACAAATCAGAGCTGGGCTCTGATACTGGGAGCATTGGCAAGTTTGAGTGGAGCAGCAAACACAGCAAAGAGGGGTAAGCCCCGCTAGCCGGCCTAGGGCCCTGGAGGGGAGGGAGGCAGATTTAGGGAAAGAGCCACAAGAAAGAAAATACAAGGAGAAATTAGGACATGAATGGTGGGCCTTGGTGACCCCTTCCTGGAGATTTTAGTGAAGATTCCTGCTGGTCTGGCATGGGTGACTGGATAGGGGGCGCCTGGGTTCTGAGGTCACCAACAGACCAGGGCTGTCTAGTTTCCAGACAGGGTCGGAATATCTAGTTACCAGACTCCCCCACCTGGAGATGTCATTGTCCATGCAGCCGGGGCTAGGACAGGGTCTGCGAACACTTGAGGCTTTTCAGTCAATGACTCTTCCTCCATTAGCGTGCACTCTGCCTACAAGCCCTTTCACATGAACACCAGTGTTCAATCTCCAGGTGCTGCTCTGGTCTCTGGCATTATGGGTAGAGTTCATCTCTCTCCCTGAGGCCCTGCTTTTCATGAGGGAAGTGTAGAAAACAAAGTTCAGAGTCAGAGGAAGAGAAAAATTTTTGGACAGCGAAGAGACCATCTTAGAGTTATTTACTGAGGGGCAGAAGGTCCTTGAATTTGGTTTCTCGTTACTGAACTGTGCTCTAGAAAAATACCTATAGCCTCAATTAAGAGTTCGAGAAGTCAGCTCCAATAATCACCCGGCGATGTGAATCCTACAACTTCCATCGGAGTTCCGGATAGGATTTATGCTATGCATTACTGTGCTGGTTTTTTTCAAAATGAAAATCTTGGCTTTTCTTTTTTCTCTTTTTCTTTTTTAGCAGAAACTTCTCAGAAGATGTGCTGGGGTGGAAAGAGTCATTTGACTTGCTACTGAGCAGTAAAAGTGAGTAGGACCCTGTTGTGTCTGTCTGTGGATGGCACATGTGTACCCATGTGCTTTGGAGCCAGCCTGAGGGATGCTGAAAAGCGTGGGCAAAATAATAGTCGTAGTAATAATAATAACGATCCCCTAGTGTGCCAGCCTCTGTTCAGAACACAAAGGCAGGTCCTTGTTCAAGAAAATTACATCCTAAAAATAGAACCATTAACCACAATTGCTGTCTTTCTTCTTTTATTCCCTGCTGTCCCGCTGTCTGACCTGTCTCTCCCTCTCTCCCCTCAACCCCAGATGGAGTGGCCGCTTTCCACGCCTTCCTGAAGACGGAGTTCAGCGAGGAGAACCTGGAGTTCTGGCTGGCCTGCGAGGAGTTTAAGAAGCTCCGGTCGGCCACCAAGCTGGCCTCTCGGGCTCACAAGATCTTTGAGGAGTTCATCCGCAGCGAAGCCCCTAAGGAGGTCAGAACCTCAGCAGGTTCCGGGGCTCCTCCAGACCCTGGCTGCCCCTTCCCCGCCGAGGACTGGGGCTGGGGGCGGTCTAGTCAGGAAGGGTTGACTTTAGAGAGCGATCTTATGTGGCACAGGGCTGAATGGTCTTCCGTGGCCGGAGACTAGGAGAGCCAGGCGCCCTGCGACTCCTGGCTGCTGTCACCCTCAGACTCGCTGAGGGGGGGCTGGAGGGCTTGGCAGGGAGGGGTTCTGGCTTCTGTCCATACCCACTTTTGCAGAGAGGCTCAAAACACACGAGCGGAGAGACGGGTCAACCTGGGGACCTCGTGTGACCTGGTTCCGTCTCCTGACTGACCTGCCTCTGGCTGGCTGGTTCGTGGGTGGTGAATTTTTGCACGTCCCCCCCCCCCACCCCGTCCTTGGCTGCTTGCCACCAGCATTTGGCAAAGCGAGTGGGGCCACCTTGTGGAGAGAGAATAGAATAGAAATGCCTTGCTTTTGTAGCCTCTGTATTTTTCTGAGCACTCTAATTTTTTCCACGTTATTCCATAAAGACTTATTGAGCACCCATTACATGCAAGGCACGGTTATAGTCACTGGGGACATAGCCGGGACAAGAAGTCTCTACTATTGAGAGAAGATGACAATAACCGATTAAATGAGTAAATAACATGTCAGGTGACGGCGCGTGTTCTGACCCAAGCAAACAGGATTTGAAAGGGAGCCCTGGAGTACAGGGTGGCCGGATGTGAGGTCTTTTTGTTTTACAAAGGGAAGTGAGGGGTGGGCCACCCCGTTAGGTGACAAAGGAACAGATGCACATAAGAAGGGAGGGAAGAACATTGCAACAGAGGAAATGGCAAGTGCAAAAGCCAGCAGGAAGGGGGCCCGAGTGGAGCTCAGAGAGTGAGGGAGGCAGAGTAGGAGAGGTCAGACCAGGGGGCAGGGGGCCAGATGTGGGCCCAGGTGGCTGTGTGGGCCCAGCACACACGCTGGCTTTTCCTCTGAGTGACACAGGACAGCCCTGCTGCTGGCAACCTGACTTGAGTTTTCCGAGGCTCACTCTAACCGCTGGCTAGGGAACCGGCCACAGGCATGAGGGTGGAGGAGAGAGACCAGTTAGCAGGCTCTGGCATTAACCTGAGGAGAGAGGCAACGGAGAACTGAGCCAGGACTGTCCGAAGGGGGAGGAAAAGGCGTTAGCTCTGTACATTCTTCATACATCCTTGATAACTTTGGAAGATCGGAGGGCAGATCCTGCGTCCAATTGCACGGACGGGCCCAGAGTTGAAAAGCCAGTTAATGGTCAACTCAGGAGACCCCAGGTTCCTGGTTCAGGCCCATCACCCTCCCCCCTCCCCAACCCCATGGCCCTCTGGACCCCTTGCCTGGCCCACCCTCCCCTCACCCACATGCTTGCCTTCCTTCCCACAGGTGAACATAGACCACGAGACCAGGGAGCTGACCAGGATGAACCTGCAGGCTGCCACGGCCACGTGCTTTGACGTGGCTCAGGGGAAGACTCGCACCCTGATGGAGAAGGACTCCTATCCACGCTTCCTGAAGTCCCCTGCTTACCGGGACCTGGTGGCCCAAGCCTCGGCCACCTCTGCCTCTCTGGCCAGCAGCAGCCACGAAGAGCCCCTGCACACCTGAGTCTCATGGCGGGGAGGGAGCCAGCCCGGGGGGAGAGGTGGAGTCACCCATCCCTAAGGCAGATTCCACCAAGCAAGCGCGAGAGGACAGTGAAGAAAAAAGCCCATTGGCAGCCTGTTTTGGAAGCGGCCTCTCCTCCAGATACTGTGGCACTGGGCTCCGTGCACGAGAGGGCCCCCTCCACCCCCACTTCCAGGACCAGCGGATAAGGACCGAAGATGAGGGTCGCGTGGGGCTCTCTGGGGAAAGGAAAGGCAGCGTAGGAGTTATCCTTGCTCTTGTCGTTCTCCACGGGCAAGAATTATTCCAGGGTGGACTGGGAAACACGGATAAAGGAAACTTGAAAAGGAGAGCAGGACAGCCAGACCAGCTCTTCCTCCGGGGAGGAGGTGACTCCGGCTACATCCTGTTTTTCTAGTTGCCGGGTGCCCAGGCCCAGGAGGGAGCTGCGGATGCGGTGCCTTCCCACTCTGCCCTCCTCACCTGCCTCCAGGCTGCCTGGGGCTCCCTTAGCTTGCCCTTCCCCACATTTGTGTCCAGCCTCATGGTCTTTGCAAGGCCAGAGAACAATTTGACACTTGCCCAAAATGAGATTTTTTTTTTTTTTAATACCTCGAAAACTGGCCTTTTGAGCCCCTTTCCACATCAGTAGAGAGCCTGGAAAAGGGGCCAGTGTGCTCCTGTGAAATTAATCTTGGTGCTCTTGGTGACCTTTGCAGGCGGTCCCCGGCCCTGTGCTTGAAGCAAGGTCCATCTGTGAGTAGGGCCTGATGTGGGGGGGCGGTGTGCCCTCGCCTGGCCCCGTGCTGCCCTAGACCATAGGGCCCATGAGGCGGAAGGTGTGGGGCCTCTCAGTGAGTGGCTAGTTCAGCTCTTGGGCTCTGCAGTATGGAATGAGGAAGAAAAGGATCCTAAGAAATCTCTTCGCAGTTCCCAAAAGTTCCGTTGAAATCAAGCCAGCATTTTTTCTGGGTGTGAGAACAGGGAAAGAGAGATGCCCAGAATGGAAGGGGAACCTTATGTTTCCTTCCTGTGGATGTGAGGTGCACTTACTGGAGTGTTGGGGGAAGTTGGACCAGGGACCACGGTGGCCCTTGGAAGACAGAAGCCAGGGGTGCAGCTGGAGAGAGAGGCTGCTTGGAAGAACCCGGCTGGGGTGGGGGCGGGGAATCAGGACCTGCTTGTCACCTCAGGGCAACCCCAAACACGCATTTTCCTGGTGGAGCCCGGGCCCAGGAACTGAATGAACCAGGCGGCCCCCTTCGACCCCAGGAAAAGCAACACTGTTCTCTCTACGCTCTGAGCTCCTCCAGGAGAAAATTATTTAAGTATAATGTGTTGTTGGTTTTGTGACAATTGTCATAGCATATTATTTTTATTACTGTTGTGTTGTTGGTGTTGTTATTTATTGTAATTTCAGTTTGCCTCTGTTGGAGAATCTCAGCAGGAGCTGGCAGCCTGTCTCCCTCTCCACCAGACTCTACCTCTGAACGTGCTGGGAACCTCTTAGCGCCTGTCAGGGACTCCTCACTGTTTAACTATTTATTTATTGTTGACAATGGAGCTGGTTTCCTAGATAAGAAGGATGTACTTTACCCTTGTTTCCCTGTTTTAGCATGTTATATTCTTGTAAAATAAAAATAAAACCCAAATACGAGATCTTGGCTGTAAGTTCTGTGCAGGTGGGAAGAGGGAGGGGAAGCCTGGGGCAGGAGCTGGCCTCTGGAGAGCCCTCCCCGCACATGCCAGAGCTCTCAGGTCACAGGCAGAGGCCCAAGGGGAAGACCCATGTTTGTCTAGTGCCTGGTAGAGTTGATGAGAAGGGCCCAGGTGCTAAGGGTGGCCCCCGAGATTGGTAACTTCCTTTAGCCGATGATAGTCCCAACTTGTGTCAGGCTGTTGTGTCGTGTCAAAGGGACCCAGTCAGCCTGCTGTCATTGGAGAGCCCATGTCCTTCACCCAGAGCTAACCATTCCCAACTTGGCCTCTCACAACACGAGGGGAGGCTCCCCTTGGTCCAGTAGCCACAGGTGACAAGTTAGACAAGGTAGCTTTCAGGGCATACTCACTTTTGCCCATTTTTAATTTGCATTAGGATTTCACAGAAATTCAAAGCATTGGTATTTTGCAAATAATTTCATAGACGGCTCTGAGATGCGCTGGGAAGCTACTCTGTACGTGACACTGTTCCATCCCATGGGCTGAGGATGCCAGAGCGTTGAGCTGGGCTTGAAAGGATCTGGGGGTGGGTTTGCAAGGATCGTATCAGCTCTTCCTTCGCCAATAGCCTATTTGTTCTCTCTCTTCTTACCCCACTGATCCTCTCCCCCACCCCATTACCACTATTTAGAAAATCCTTTTCTATCGAATTACCTGTCTGTACTCTCTGGTTCATCCACTTGCAGGCGGATGATATCTAGTTGACCATGTGGGACGGGGTGAGCCGAGGGTCTTCCTACTGTAATCCTCCCAAGCCCTTTGCTTGAATTACCTGTTTATCCACAGATCTGGACCTTCTCTTGGCTTTTATTTCTCCCCTATTGTTTGTCTGAGTAAGTGACCAGACTCCAGGAATGTCGGCTGGAAAACCAGGTCTAAGGAATGTTTCTGTGGGCATCTCCAGGAGGGACTCAGAATTGAGGGGCCTGAGAAGGAAGATACGGTCAGAGGCTACGGATGGGCCCTGATCTCAGGGAGTCTTTCCACCAGCTCCATGAGGTTTGTTAGCCTGTGATTCGAGGAGCTGGGGCTCATGGGGCAAGGAACGGACCCCAGGCAGCTGGCTGGAGAGAGCAGTGGGGTTGGATGGGAGCGATGGGAACCCAGTTACAGCATCAGGGGTCATCCGGTGTGCAAGAGATGGGTGTGGGAAGGATTGATGGGGAAAGAAGAAAGCTGGGTACCCAGGGAGGCAGGGAGGCATTCACATGTCCTCTTTTCCTTCCATCTTTTCGCCATTTTACATGCCTTTGAGTGCATCCCACGTGCCTGGCAGAAAACCAAAAGCAGTAACTACTTTTATTCAGTAGTGGGTAGGGATCCTGAATATGGTGAGACAAGGGCACAGATGTGTGCTTTTTGAAACAATGTGGTCAGCCAGGAGGAAAAGGCAGGTGTAGTCAGTGAGTGATAGAGAAAAGAACGATGGACAACCAGTGGCGGGGTGTGTGTGTGTGTGTGTGTGTGTGTGTGTGTGTGTGCTAGCTAGCAGGCCACACAGTTCAGTGAGACCATCCTCAAGGGCCGCATCCCCCTAACCCTCCCTCTCACATAAAAAGTGGTCTTGGCTTCCGTGCTGTGGCTGAAGGTGGTAGGTCCACATTAGAGAGAAGAACAGTCCTTTGCTGACCTTTTACATGTCCCAGGTGACAGGTTCAAAGCAATCCCAGGCTGTAATGCTTCACTGAGGGTTTAAGGGATTTCCTGAAGATCAAACTGTTAGCAAGTGGCTCTGATGTCATTAGACCTCTGCCCCCTCCCCAGAACACTCTAGGCTTTGGCTCAGCAGGGAAAGCATTTCCTAAGGAGGCTGTGGCTGGCCTCCGAGACCTCACTTGCTACTCTCGACCCTGTCCCTTGAAAACAAATCTGTCCCAGTTCCCAGATTTGCTGTTACTGTCTCACATTTCTTGGCTTTCTTATCCTGGACCACCCCGCTGCTGGGTCCCCTCGTTTCCTCATTGCTGTCCTCTACCTCCTTAATCAGCTAAGGAGGCATCTTCCAAAAGCCATCTCAAGGGTCTCTCTGGGGAGACTTGCCTGAGCCTTTGGGTCTGATTACGGATGCCTCTCCATGTCCCACCGCTGCCAATGCTCACCTGAACTGGAGCACTTAGATCCCTGCTTTCTGCCTTTCTGCCCCTGTGGTGAGCTCCTGGGACGAGGCAGGTCTCTTTCTCCCCAGGGCCTCGCAAATAAGCGTTCAGCAAATGTCTCTTAAGTTACTGATTGGTTTTAAATCCAGCAGGAGGAAAGTTCAGATTACAACTTTGAGCTTCAGACCTGTCCCTGGATGTCCCAACAGGTTCTTTACACATAACACATTTGAAACCAAGGTCACCGTCGTCCCCCACAGATGCGCACTGCCTTCCGTTTCTCTAACCCTGATACGTACACAGAGGCACTGGCCACCCAAATTCAGGCTGCGCCATCTCTTCTGCATGTCAGCTCATCCCATTTTGGAAACGGGTCGTGTCCAGCTTCTCCTCTCTGGGCTCACCGAGACTTCGTTAGAGGAGCATTTTGTCCTCTCCAGTCTGAGCCATAAAGATAGCTTTCCACCTGGTCTCCCGTCCCTGGCCTCTCCCACCCATTGCCCATGCTACCAGTCTTTATCCCTAAAGCACAGATCTGACCACATCGTGGCTGCACTCAAACCCCTTCAATGGCTCCTCTTTGACTCCAAAAGAAAGTCCGGATCTGACCACAGCATCTGAGGCTCACCCTGAGCTGACCCAAGTCCCTCTCCTGATCTGTCTCCTGCCCAGATGGCCTCTATGCACATCCTGTTCTCTCTGCTTGGGATGCCCTCTTCCTCTCTTATTTTTTTTAACTGGGAGTGATGTGGAGGGGAATGCCCACCTCTAAATGCAACAAAAGCATCACCTCCTCTGTGAAGCCCTCCCAGATGTCTACTGCGCCAAGTTAATCTCCCCCACATCTGTGATTCTAGGACACACTCTTGACTTTGCTGCCCATTCTGCATGAAGCACTTCACATGTTTTTCTTCCCCTAAACTGGTCTCTTTAAGACCAGAAGCCATGTTATTCACCTAGATAAGATGGCACAGAACAGACTGCAGCAAAGCAGCTCACAGGCCTGGCCGTGGAATCAAAATGGTTGGAATCCTGGCTCATTCGCTCTACGACCTTGGGAAGTTACTAGGGTCATTCCCTCATCAGTACAATGAAAATAGAAGAGTGAACCCCTCCGAGGGGACATTGAATGAAGTAAGTGTTTGGCACAATGTTGTCCCATGAATATTAGTTATTATTATTATTATCATCTGATTCCTAGTACTCAGCACAGTGCCGGGTACACACAGGCATCTGACAGTCATCTGGAATGGAAGAACCAGATTCCAAGTCTACGTTTCTTTCAAGAATAGTACAGCTGTTTCATATCGTATATCATCTGACATGCAGAGCATCACATCAGATTTTTCAAATGAGGAAATCAAGGGTTGAGCCATTCATCAGCTCCTTCAAACCCCGGTCAGCCGGCACTCTTTCCAAATTCAGGCTGTGGCTCCCACCTGAGGGGTAGGGCCCCCAACTCTGGCCCATCCCTCAACCCTCTGCTGCCTCCCTGTGGCCATATCAGGCAATGCAAACGTTTTCCTTGGTATTGCTTGACTTTTGTCCTATTTTGTTTGGCTCCTTCCTCTGGAATGATATCCAAGAGATATAATTTATAGTTTTGTTTACTGACGCATTTTAGTAAATATGTGAACATTTAATATAAATGCGAATAATTAGAATAACTGTTAAGAACCAGTGGGTACAAGGTTTAAAACAAGAGTTCTTTAGTCAATAGGGCAAAATTAACTTTAGAAACTGAAGCTTTTAGGTAAAGAGAGAAAGGTGTTCGGGCATATTAAGGGCTGATCTCAAGGTAATTCCCTTTCACTGAAACTTTTAAATTGGTCCAGCTTTTCAAATTGCTTTAGGGAAGAAAAGAAAGATTTGAAATTTAAATAACGGAGAAGAAATCCCAAGGGTGAGGGATGTAATGCCGTTAGCGGCTAGATAATGAAGTTTGAATCTCCATCATTTAGAAACAATACCTCTTGACTTACAGTTTTGGTGATTCCCAAGCTTTGGTCACCAACCTAGACAAGGATTTGATTTAAACTTCAAGAAAAGCAATAATGTGTGGATTAATCCTTTATTTGGATTATAATTTGGGCCCCCACTTAAGAGAGAGTTCTGTGCTGGACAGTATCATTGCCTTAACTTACTCCATCTTGCCAGTTCCCAGAGGTGGTTCCACAGACAAGGTAGTATCAAGCTTTAGACAGCAGGCCCTGAATTCAGTCCCATATCTGCTCCTTATTAGCCAAATGATCTCAGCACATTATTGGATTTCTCAGAGACTCACTTTTTCCTGTAACCTGTGAATAAGAATAGGACTGGCTTCACAGGACTTTTGTGATGACAGAAGGAGGAAATTTACGGGAAATACTCAGCACAAATTGTAGCTATGTATGTGTGATGGGCGCTATTCCAAGTGCCTCATGTAGGTCCATTTCTGCATTCTGTACCATAGTCCCGTGAGGTAAATTATGTTATTGTTTAATATTGTTTAATATCACCATATTGCAGATGTAGAAATCAAGGCCTGGAAGGTTTAAGAAAATTGCCCAAATTCAAAGAGTTAGCCGGTGGCTGTATTGATGAGCTATTGCTGCATGAAAAACCCTTCCACAACTCTGTGGTTTCAAATAATAAGCATTTATTATTCTCGTGACTCTGTGGGTCAGCTAGGTACCTCTGCTTATCTGGGCCAGGCTCAGCTGATCTCTACTGGCTTGTTCTTGTGTCTGTGACCCACTGGAGGGCTGGTGAGAGTTGACGGGAGTGGGCTAGTCTAGGATGGCCTTCGTCATATATCTAAGGATTGGCTGGTTGTTGGCTTGGGCAATGGTGGTGTCTGGGCCATGTATTTCCTATCACCCAGCAGGCTAGACCAGGCTTCATTCTATGGTGGCAGGGTCCCCAGCTCAGATTCAAAGAGGGGGAGTAATGAGAGTACTTAGTGAGAAAAAGCATGAAGTTAAATTGTGGAGGGCATGCGTATAGAGAGGGTTGAAAAAAATGTGGCTATTTTTTGTAATTATTCTAAAATAGTGGGAGAGTCTGGATTTGAAGGGGGGTAGTCTGGTGCCAGAGTCCTTGCTCTGAAGCATTCTGGAGACTTAATGCCTTGACCTCTGCTAGCCAGAGTCTCGCCATTTCCTGCTCCTACCCATGGGCATGGAATGCCCTGTCAACAGCCTCCATGCACCGGCAAGTGCTAGAGTTTCTAGCTGTGCCAGCTGTTTTGCTTTGCCTACATTTCTTGCTAATCCTTTGTTTATTCCTTTGGAGTTCTGCTTTATGATCACTTGGATCCTGAGCAATTCTGGTTTTGTTTGTTTTGTTTTGCTTGCAATTGTTAGTTTCCTATCTTAGCTGCACCTCTACTTCCTCATCTTTTTATTTTGAACACGTCACAGAATACGTAAGATGATTGTTTACTGCAGTCACAGGGAAGTGGGAAAATCTGGATTTAATTAGCAAAATTATGATGAAGCTGTGAGAACGTCAGTAATACGTCTGATTCAATTTGACCCCATTGTCTCCTGGCCAAGATTGAAGAAGAGCTTCTGGTGAGCCAAATGCAGTTTTCTCTCACTCTTAGAGCACATCCTTGCAGCCTGAGCGATCTTTCTGGACCAAAGAAGGGGAGGGTGAGGACACTGTGTCCACATATCAACATGTTGTGTGTGGAAAGGGGATGCCAAAGGGATGGCGGGGGACAGCCTTACATTTATAGCCTTGGCCTAGGCTTCTCTGCATGTTCTCCCCCTTGGTTTGCCACCGGCTCCTGGGTCTGCTTGCTTCTGCTCTTGGAGGTGGTTCCTTCTTCGGTCTGGAGCTCTGGACCCAGCCCTGTGGCTGGGGTCTCTGGGCAATCTCAAGTCTCCTCCTACCAGAACAGGTGTCACTCCCCACATGTCTCTTCGGCCACCCCTCCTGGATTCTCCTGGCTCAAGATGGTCAGGAGTTGGTCTCCCCATCAAGACTGGCTATTCCTTGAGGACCGGAATATTTCCCATGGCAGCCTTCAGTACACAGTACGCATCTCCGTGCTAAGAAAGTGGCAAGAACAGAACTTCTAGAGCAGAAGGAATGTTAAAAAACCATGATGCATGAGAGACCTGAGACTCCACATGGTTAAGCCATCCACCCACCTGAAGTCACTCCCCTAGAAGTGCTGGCTACAGGACCAGCTCTCTAGACTGCCAGGCTGGTGGCCTTCTGGGCAGTGAGAGCGTTGCGTGTGCCCAGATGAGTGAGCGAGCTTGGGCTCTGAGTTTATTGAGCTTCTCTGAGCCTCAGGTGTGTCATGATCAGGATTGTCAGGGGTTAACGGGGGTCCTGTCACTTGCAAAGCAATGGGCAGGAAATGTTTCTTTACCACTCATTTCCTTCAAGCAGGTAGGGGACTTGGAATAAGGTCTAGATGACGCGGGAAGCTGTGGCCTGGAAGCCTCAAGGGCGGGAAGGCGATGGGCTGGGAGTCGGACCCTCAGATGGGCCCTCCGCCGTCCTGCCAAGGGTTAAATGCGCCCCGGCTCCTTCCTCACTCGCTCACTCTCAGCCCCGCCCCGCTGGCCCGGCGACAGCCAGAGGAGGTGCTTTCCCGCGTGCTTCCGCCTTCGGCGACCGAGGGCTCTCCGCGGAAGAGCCGAGGGCCCGGCACCCGAGTTCAGGAGGTAAGAGGGGCCCCAGGAGGGCTGCGGGGCTGCTCGGGAGGTGGTTTTCTCGGAGGGATTTCCTGGGCTCCGGGGCGGGCAGCGGGTGTGCGGCTCCCCACAGAGCAAGGACCCCGACACAAGACTCGATCCCAGGACCCTGAAACCATGACTTGAGCCAAAGGTAGACGCTTCACTGACGGAGCACCCCGGGGAGTGCCAGGTTCGGCCGCAGCCCCCCCGGCGCGCCATCGGCCCCCCCTCCGGGAAACCCCGCTGCGGAACCGAGAAAACGGAACCGGAAGCGGCCCCTTCCTCGAGGCGGGGTGTCCTCGCTCCCGCAGGGCGCGGGGAGGAAGCGGGGGTCCTCGGCTTCCTCCCCTGCGCTGCTCGCTCATTCCCACCTGCCTGCCTCACACCTGTGGTAGCCGGAACTTGGAGCACAAACCGGCGTCTCCGAGTTTTCATTGCCGGTGATGGCGCTTTTGCAGCACCATCGATCTCGGTCTCTGCCGGCGAGGGCTTGGCGACCGTCCCCGCGGCCGGGTGGCAGGAACACGGGCGCTTCCGGGCTCCGGAGCCGGTGGAGTCTTACAGATCTGCTGGCAGCAGGGGGTGGGTGCTGACCGATGGCTGAACGGCCGCTCTGTTGCCCCCAAGGGACCGAGGGCAGCTGGACTCCGCACCACCAGCCCCTCCATCTGGGCTGCGTGTGTGCGCGCTCGGAGGGCGAGAGTAGGAATCGCTGAATTTTGTTTTTCCTGAAGGGCCGTGGTTCAGTCTATCATTTATTGAATGCCTGATTTTCGCCTTACGTTACAGCAAGAGGGAGCGGAAAATTGAGAATAACCTAATGTTACACAATTAGGAAGTAACGGTCTGAAGTCAAATGAGCAGCGGTTCAAAACTTCAATCTTGGGAGGTTGGAGTCTAAGCTCTTTCCAGTTCTCTCTACTACTTTGAAAAGAAGCGCACATGCCTAAAGAAGACAGGCCCAGAGCCAGCAAATTCACCGAGAGCTCTAAGACATGCAAATAGGTGTAAGAAATGCAAATTGATACAAAACATATTTTTCCCCCTATATATGAGGGTACTTTTTCTTTTAAGAGACCATCTATTTCTTTTTTTTTTTTTTTAAGATTTTATTTATTTATTTGACAGAGAGAGATCACAAGTAGATGGAGAGGCAGGCAGAGAGAGAGAGAGAGAGAGAGAGGGAAGCAGGCTCCCTGCTGAGCAGAGAGCCCGATGCGGGACTCGATCCCAGGACCCTGAGATCATGACCTGAGCCAAAGGCAGCGGCTTAACCCACTGAGCCACCCAGGCGCCCCGAGACCATCTATTTCTAGTGAGAGTATGTTAATATGGAAGATATTTATTAACATAGCCTGAGCATTTTTGAAACAATGATATTGTTTTGTTACTGGGACAGAGAATGGGTTCTAGACTCAGGTTTGGCTGTTGGCTGCTCACGAATCTGTACCGGAGAGGCTGGTGATGGTGGGAAAGGCAAGGCTGCTTTATTCAGGAAAGTGGCAGCCTGGGAAGGTGGCAGACTCATGTCTCAAAGGCCACCCTCCCTGGGCACCTGGGTGGCTCAGTGGGTTGGGCCTCTGCCTTCCACTCAGGTCATGATCCCAGGGTCCTGGGATTGAGCCCTGCATCGGGTTCTCTGCTCAGCCCGGAGCGTGCTTCCCTCTCTCTCTCTGACTGTCTTTCTGCCTACTTGTGATCTCTCTTTCTCTCTGCCAAATAAATAAATAAAATCTTAGATATAAAAAAAAAAAAGGCCATCCTAGGGGAAGCAGGAGGGCTTTAGGGGGCAAGGGATGGGAAAGATGGTGGGGGTGGGTGGAAGCTGTGAGCAGGAGTGGCAGGTGGCCAGTCAGTCCTGTCAGTATGACCCTAAACAGGCAGTCTGGCATCTCTGGCAGCTGTTCCGGAATGTAGTCAGGACTTAATCTTCTGGGAAATTCACTCCTCAAGGCCAGTGGTCTGCAAATCTCAAGGAAAGTACATTAGTTCTGCTACAGGTCAGGGAACTTAGGTCGGCAAGCAAAGAGCGGATAAGCTTGAAGTCAATGAACACTTCAGACCTGTTGGCGTGCTGTTACACTTTGACCAGTCATCCAGTTCTTGGAAATCTATCATAAGAAATCTATGATAAGATTTAGCATAAGAAAACAAGCTTTAAAACATGAAATTTACTGCAACATTATTTAGAATTGTTAAAAAATCCTAATTTAAAAAATCTTGCTCAAAAATTGTTTTTAAAAACTGTTCAGTAACAGGGAAATGAAACAAGTGATTGGTGGCGTATTGCAGAGCCATTAAAAGTGTTTGCAAAGGCTTGTGATAAATAGGAAATTGTTTATACAATGGCATTAAATGAAAGAAAGCAGGATATTTATACAGTATCCTCATAACATGATCTCAACTATTTTTTTCTAAAGATTTATTTGTTTATTTAGTTGACAGAGATTAGGTGGACAAGTAAGTGGAGAGGCAGGCAGAGAGAGAGAGAGGAGGAAGCAGACTCCCCGCTGAGCAGAGAGCCCAATGTGGGGCTCAATCCCAGGACCCTGGGATCATGACCCAAGCTGAAGGCAGAGGCTTTAACACTGAGCCACCCAGGCGCCCCGATCTCAACTATTTTTTAAAAATTTATAGAAATATACTAAAATAGGGTGGTTCAGTTGGTTGGGTACCCAACTTTAGATATCGGTTCAGGTCATGATCTCAGGGTTGTGAGACTGAGCCTTGTGGCGGGTGCATAGTGCAGAGTCTACTTGAGATTCCCCCTCCCTCTCCCTCTGTTCCTCCCCTGCTTGCACACTCTCTCTCTTTAAATAAATTTTTAAAAAATCTTTAAAGAAATATACTAAAGTCTTAAAAAAATTTTTTTTTATTTGTCAGAGCACAAGCAGGGGGAGCAGCGAGCAGAGGGAGAAGCAGGCTCCCCACAGAGCAAGGACCCCCGACACAAGACTCAATCCCAGGACTCTGAAACCATGACTTGAGCCAAAGGTAGACACTTAACTGACTGAGCCACCCAGGCATCCTCTGAAATCTTAACACCTATTTCTGGGTGGTGGGACTACAGTGTCATAATTTTCTTGTTTTTAATTTATATATGTTCATAATATTCTATAGTAAAAAGTTCTATATAAATCAGTAGATGTATTTTGAAGAAGTCGCTAGTAAAATTAACTTTTCTGATTCAAATGCTTTCTCACTTTTATAAAATTACAAAATGGCTCATCTCCTGGTGGGATGTCAGAAGACTTCCAAGAATATTTCCTTCCTCATGTTGCTGGTCCACAGCCAGATAGTCCCTATTTATCCTGATGGTTCAAAGAGCTCCATGTCTCTTTGATCAAGTCCCAAGGAGAGAAGTTTTCATTTTCTCAAAGAAAAGGCACAGAATTGTAGCCAGTGGTAATTACCGTCATGGAGACCAAGAGCCCTAACAGCCTTCAGGAGAGTCCCACACCCTCCGGCACTGAGAGGACATTAGGGGATGGCATTCAGTTACTCAAAGCTGTTAAAGAAGGAAACATCGAGCTGCTCCAGCAATTGCTGGAAGGAGGGGCTGAGGTCAACTTCCAGGATGAATGGGGCTGGTCACCTTTGCATAACGCGGTACAATGTTGCCAGGAGGACATGGTGAATCTTCTGCTTCACTATGGTGCAGACCCTTGTCTAAAGAAGAAGAATGAGGCCACTCCCTTCATCATTGCTGGGATTGTGGGAAATGTGGAGCTGCTCAAACTTTTCCTTTCTAAAGGAGCAGATGTCAATGAGTGTGATGCTAATGGCTTCACAGCTTTCATGGAAGCTGCTGTGCATGGTGAGGAGGAAGCCTTAAAATTCCTGTATGAGAATGGGGCAGAGGTGAATTTGAGTCGAAAGACAACGGAGAATCAGAAGAGGCTTAGAAAAGGAGGGGCCACAGCTCTAATGGATGCTGCTGAAAATGGACACGCAGACATCTTGAAGATCCTCCTTGATGAGATGGGGGCAGATGTCAAAGCCCGTGACAATATGGGCAGAAATGCTTTGATCTATGCATTTAGGAACTCTGATGATAGAAACTTGGAGGACATCACTCGCCTTCTGCTGTACCACGGGGCTGATGTCAATGTGAGGGGAGAGAAAGGGAAGACACCCCTGATCCTGGCAGTGGAAAGGAGGCACTCGGATGTAGTGCAGATGCTTTTGGAACAAGAACATATAGAGATTGATGACACAGACAGTGAGGGCAAAACAGCGCTTCTGTTGGCTGTCGAACTCAAACTGAAGAAAATTGCTCAACTCTTATGCACCAAAGGAGCCAGCATGGACTGTGGGGATCTTGTGACGATAGCGAGACGCAATTATGACGCTCCCCTTGTAAAGCTTCTTCTCTCTCATGGGGCCAGAGAAGATGGTCGCCCTCCTGTGGAAGACTGGAAGCCTCAGAGCTCACGCTGGGGGGAGGCCTTGGAACATCTCCGCATAATATACCGCCCTATGATTGGCAATCTCAAGATCTTTATTGATGAAGAATATAAAATCGCTGACACTTCTGAAGGGGGCATCTACCTTGGGTTCTACGAAGGGCAGGAAGTAGCTGTGAAACGATTCTCTGAAGGCAGCACACGCGGACAACAGGAAGTGTCCTGTCTGCAGAGCAGCCGAGCAAACAGTGACTTGGTGACATTCTATGGGAGTGAGAACTACAAGGACTGTCTGTATGTGTGTCTTGCCCTCTGTGAGCAGACCCTGGAGGAACACTTCGCTACATGCAAGGGGGAGGCTGTGGAAAATGAGGAAGACGTGTTTGCCCGAAACGTCCTCTCATCTGTATTTAAGGCTGTTGAGAATCTCCATGTGCTGTGTGGATACACACACCAGGATCTATGCCCACAAAACATCTTAATAGGTGAGTCCCCAGTCTTCTCCTACAAATCGTGGGGTCTTTATTTACAGAAAGAAAGGATATTCATTACAGGTCGGAAAGGAGTAGAGTAAATGTGGATCATTCAGTGTGAGGTTTAACGCAACAGATTCAGGATTATAGTGCTGTCTCTCCTGCTACCAGGTAGAACCTTACCCCACATGGAGGTTGCAGATTCCAATGATACCAGGCTAACTTCAGATTTCCTTTGGCAAATACACGTATGAAGGTTATGTCTTGGATGGCGTCAGCTCCAGAATTTTGAGTTCCTAAAGTAGCCTGCAAATCAGAGAATCCTGAAGGTGTATTCCTTCAGCTAAGATGGTAGCCATTGTGAACTTTTTTTTTTTTTTAAGATTTTCTTTATTTATTTGTCAGAGAGAGTGAGAGAGGGCACATAAGCAGGGGAAGTGGCAGGCAGAGCAGGCAAAGGGAGAAGCAGGCTCCCCACTGAGCAAGGAGCCCAACGTGGGACTCGATCCCAGGACCCTGGGATTATGACCGGAGCTGAAGGCAGATGCTTAACTAATTGAGCCACACAGGCACATTTAATGGCAAAACCAAGGTCAAAATTGGGCGTGCCAGGATAAGATACAGCAAGTGGGCAGACGAGTCAGCACCCACTGGCCTCAGCCAAAACCAAAATCAATGAAAGCAACATTAACGGAAAGAAGCGGAGCTGAGTGTCCAGTCCCAGGCCATGTGGTGCAGCAGAAAGAGTCTGGTCACGTGTAGGGAGGCTGGCAGCCTAGTCCTGCTGCTTTGTAGCTTTGCACCCTCCAACAAGTCACTTAGTTCTGTGAGCCTTAGTTTCCTCACGTAAGATGGACCATATGTCCATCATAAGGTCGCTATGAGGTGCAGCGTGTTAGACAAGTTACCTATATGTTGTAGGTGCTCAGCACAGGCCAGGTACTTGCCCAGAGGGCTAAGCAGAAACAGATACCTAGTCTACAGGCATGCACTGAGATTTAAGGTAGGTGTAAGGGAACAAGACAAAAAGAGGGTTCAGGTATTGAGAGCAGAGAACAGTATTTAAGGTCCTGGATGAGACCTGGAAAGAAGTATGTGGACATCAGAATACAACTGGAATCTGGCTTTTAGTTTGAGGACAAGGGTTAGTGGTACTCCTTCCTGGTTTTAAGCAACTTTGCTGGGGAGACTGACAAAGGCCAGAAATATGTGCAGCTCTACAAAGTGAGGCAGAGTCCTCAAGATGCAGCCAAAGGCAGGGTCCTTTTCAGTTCTAACCGCTCATCTTGATACAGAAGAGTCACATATGTTCACATATCAAGTTCACAGCCACATATCACTACCTCTTCTTTGGCATTTCTGATACCATGTCTTCTGTTCTTTCTTTCTTTCTTTTTTTTTTTTTAAAGATTTTATTTATTTATTTGGCAGAGATCACAAGTAGGCAGAGAGGCAGGCAGAGAGAGAGAGGAGGAAGCAGGCTTCCCGCTGAGCAGAAAGCCCCGATGCAGGGCTTGATCCCAGGACCCTGGGTTCATGACCTGAGCCAAAGGCAGAGGCTTTAAACCACTGAGTCACCCAGGCACCCCACCTCTTCTATTCTTAACCTTGAACAATAGAGAATTGAGAATTGATTATATTTCTGCCTCCAGGTGGTGAGCCTAACACATACCTTGTATTAAATCTATTTATTCCTTGTATTAAATCTATTCCTTGTATTAAATCCCTAAAATGACAGGAGAAGATTGTTAAATGAATTCCTAGCTGGGGACAAAATAACGAAAGAAGTTTTATAGGACAAAATCTTTGAGGAATTATATAGAGACTGAACATGATAGGATGGGATGAGAGAAGGACACAGGAGCCCAGGACAGATGCAGGATGCCACAACTAAATATTACTCATGAAAGTGGGAGTAGTGCAAAGAAATGCCACTCAGGAGTAATGGAAGCCAGAAGCAGGAGAGGACACAAGACCAGCTAACAGGCAGATTGCTGCATCAGTAAAAACTAGGAAGATCACACCCTGTGCATTCCCCACAGACCAAGCATCTGTGCCCGGCCTGTCTGCAGACTGGGCTACTACTTGAGACACTAGAGGTTGATGATCTCAAGAGAAACAAAGAGCAGTTAAATCCATAAGATTTCTGCCAAAATACCCTACTAAGTGGCACGTCCTGCTTACCTCCAAGTTTCACTGAGTAGAACACAAAGCAGAAGTTCTGACAACTGCCTCCATCTCTGCGCTGTGTTGGGTGGCATTAACAGAAGCAGTTCAAAGGGCATCAGGGATTCTCAACTGCAAAGTAAGGCTTATGGTCAAAAATCACTGAAGATATTTATGATGTGCTGATACCATAAAAGAGGTGCATGAAAGAGAAGAACTTAGACCCAAAGGAACAAAGCTAACTGAGTATGTTAGTTTCCTATGGCTGCTGGAATAGATGATCACAAACGTGGTGGCTTAAAACAGTAGGAATTTATTCTCCATATCAGATACATGATTCATAAATTTTTTTTTCCATGCTATACATTGTCTTTTCATTTTGTTGATGGTTTCTTTTGCTGTGCAGAAGCTTTTAGTGTGATGTAGTCTTACTGGTTTGTTTTTGCCTTTGTTGCTTGTGCTTTTGGTGTCATATCTAAAATATCATTGCCAAGAACAATATCAAGGTGCTTTTTCCCTATGTTTTCTTCTAGGAGTTTTATGGTTTCAGGTTTTACATGTAAGTCTTTAATCCATTTCAAATTAGTTTTTGTGAGTGGCATAAGATAGGGGTCTACTTTCATTCTTTTGCATGTAACTATCCAGTTTATCCTACATCATTATTTGAAGAGATTTTCTTCTCCCCATTGAGCATTCTTGGCTCCCTTGTCAAATATTAGTTGACTGCATATGTGTGGTGGGTTTATTTTTGGGCTCTTTATTCTGTTTCACTCATCTGTGTGTCTGGTTTTATACCAGTACTGTACTATTTTGATTACTTGGTCTTTGTAATGTAGTTTAAAATCAGGAAGTGTGATGCCTCTGGTTTTGTTCTTTCTCAAAATTGCTTTGGATGGATTAGTGCCATTATAAAAAGAGCTAGCTAGTTGTCTTTTTACCATATGAGGATACAGCAAAGAAGGTGGCTGTCTATACACCAGTATGAGGGCCCTCACCATGAAGCCAATGCTCTTGATACCCTGAGCTCAGATTTCCAATGTTCAGAGCTGTGTGAAATAAATTTCTATTGTTTAAGCCACACCCATCTACTGTAATTTGTTATAGGATACAGAATTGACTAAGACAACTATCAAATTATTATTGTTCACACATGATTCAAAATAAATACAATATTTTGATATTTTTAACATGCAGTGTTACATTAGTTTCAGGTATACAGTATAATGAGTCAACAATTCTATACATTGCTCAGTGTTCATCATGAAAAGTGTACTTTAATTCCCTTTATTTCTCCCATTCCCCCACTGATCTCCCCTCTGGAAACCACCCGTTTGTTCTCTGTATTTAAAAGTCTGGTTTTTTGGGGCACCTGGGTGGCTCAGTGGGTTAAAGCCTCTGCCTTCGGCTCAGGTCATGATCCCAGGGTCTTGGGATTGAGCCCTGCATCAGGCTTTCTGCTCCCCTGGGAGCCTGCTTCCTCCTCTCTCTCTCTGCCTGCCTCTCTGCCTACTTGTGATCTCTGTCAAATAAATAAATAAAATCTTAAAAAAAAAAGTCCGGTTTTTTGTTTGTCCTTTTCCCCCCTTTGTTTGTTTATTGCTTAAATTCCACGTTATGAGTGAAATTATACGGTGTTTGGCTTTCTCTAACCGACTTACTACACTTAGCATTATACTCTCCAAGACCATCCATGTTATCACAAAAGGGAAGATCTTATTTTTTGATGGCTGAGTAATTATATATATATATATATATATATATATATATATATATATATATATGCCACATCTCTTTTACCCACTCATCTATTAATACACACTTGGGATACTTCCATATCTTGGTTATTGTAAATAACGCTGAGCACATAAGGGTTTTGTTAACCTTAGTGGTTAACTAAAATTAGTGGTTTTGTTTTCTTTGGGTAAATACCCAGTGGTGGGATGGCTGGATTATAGGGTAGCTCTATTTTTAACTCTTTGGGGAACATCTATACTGTTTTCCACGGTGGCTGCACCAATTTACATTCCCACCAACAGTGTGCATAAAGGTTCCTTTCTCTCCACATTATTGCCAACACTTACTATTTCTTGTCTTTTTGATTCTAGCCTTTCTGACAAGTGTAAGGTGATATCTCTTTCTGGTTTTGATTTGCATTCCCTGATGATGAATGATGTCGAGAATCTTTTCATGTGTCTGTTGGCTGTTTGTATGTCTTCTTTGGAAAAATGTCTATTCAGGACTTCTGCCCATTTTTAATCAAATTGCTTGTTTGTTTGTTTTGGTGTTGAGTTGCATATGTTCTTTATACATTTTTGATATTAACCTGTTATCGGATATGTCATTCACAAATATCTTCTCCCATTCAGTAGGCTGTCTTGTCGTTTTGCTGATAGTTTCCTTTGCTGTGTAGAAGCTTTTTATTTGGGTTCAGTTTTGCTTTTGTTTCTTTGCCTAAGAAGACATATCTGGAAAAATGTTTGTATGGCCAATGTCAAAAGAATTACTGCCTGTTTTTTTTTTTCCCTGGGGGTCTTATGGTTTCAGTTCTCACATTTAGGTCTTTAATCCATTTTGAGTTTATTTTTGTGTATGGTGTAAGAAAGTGGTCCAGTTTCATTCTTTTTCCTGTAGCTGTCCAGTTTTCCTAAGCACCATTTGTTGAAATAGATTTTTTTTAAACATTTAAGGATCCAGGAAGACTTTCTACCCACAGACTATATATGAAAGAACTGCTAGAGGATACGCATAAGGAAGGAGAGAAAGAGCCTGGAAGAAAACAGTGACTTATAAGCAGCACAGAATAAACAAACAAACAAAAAAATTGTTTAAGTAACCTAATTATGTGTTATTTAAAAATTTCTTTAATAAAAATTATTTTTTAATTAACATTTTTGATGAAAAAATATCATCTTAGATGGTATCCCTCGGGTAGGAGTGAGGAGGAAGGGGTTCTTGATTCACTGACAGCGGGGTGGGGTGTGCAAATCTTATCCTAACTCTGCCCATCAACTCCTAGCAGTCTGTGATTCTGTAAGTGCAGAAACTAAGTGTAAGAGTTAAAAATTTTTATAGCACTCTAACAGTCGATTGAATCTAAAAATTAAAAAAAAACAAACAAACCTGGGGCTTGTTAAAAAAAATTAAGTGTTAGAAGAGATGTGAAGTGTTCCATTAGACACTTGAAATTTAAGTAAGAGAACTCACAGTGGCTTAAATAGTGAAGGGGATTTATCAGTTCCAGTAGCTGAAACCAGTCCCAGGTTTCCAAGGTGCACCCTCTACCGCTTGAACCTCATTGCAGGCCACTTCCAACTTCATCCCTCCTCTCCAGGCTCTTGGGCCTCCTTTCTGTCAGAGTGGAATTCCTCAGGTTCCTTTCTGCCTTGGGAAATGCTATCTAGAATTCTCTCTTCCCTGTTCCACTCATCCACGTGAATTCTACTGCTCTCTGTCCGAGCGTCATTCCTTAAGGAAACTTCTCTCCCACACACAGCCATGTGGCTCTTGTTAATTACAGTTTCCGAGCATTCTGCACTTTTGGCTAGTATTTTTATTATTTTCATTTATTTATTTATTTATTTATTTTTTAAAAATATTTTATTTATTTATTTGACAGACAGAGATCACAAGTAGGCAGGGAGGCAGACAGAGAGAGAGTAAGAAACAGGCTCCCCACGGAGCAGAGAGCCCAATGCGGGGCTCGATCCAGGACCCTGGGATCATGACCTGAGCTGAAGGCAGAGGCTTTAACCCACTGAGCCACCCAGGCGCCTTGACTAGCATTTTTAAAGTTGCAATTGGGGCACCTGGGTGGCTCTGTCAGTTAAGGGTCTGCCTTTGGCTCAGGTCATGATCCCCTGGTCCTGGGATTGAGCCCTACATGGGTCTCTATGCTTCTCATGCAGAGTCTGCTTGTCTCTCTCTGCCCCCTCCCTCCTCGCCCTCTCTCTTTCGGAAGTCAATAAATAAATCTTTAAAAAAAGATAAAGTTGCAAGTAATTTTTTTTTTTTTTAAAGATTTTATTTATTTATTTGACAGATCACAAGCAGGCAGAGAGGCAGGCAGAGAGAGAGGAGGAAGCAGGCTCCCCTAGAGAGCAGAGAGCCCGATGCGGGGCTCGATCCCAGGACTCTGAGATCATGACCTGAGCCGAAGGCAGTGGCTTAACCCACTGAGCCACCCAGGCGCCCCAAAAGTTGCAAGTAATTTTACATTCACTTGGCATTTGTCTCCTTTCTCAGAGACTCAGAACTCCAAAGGGCCTGTGCTGTGTTCTCCTCCTTCACTGTCATTCTTCCCCTCTCTGGACCCTTGTTGAATAATTTAATGGGTTTGTTTTCGCTAGACTGTGAGTTTCCACCCAACTTTGATATCTAAGTTCAGAACCAAAGGGGTTTGAGAAGCACACAATTGTGCTGACCATCCTACCGCCCAGAGTTACCCAGCGGCTTTCCTAGATACCTTCAAGCCAGAAGCAGGAGCCCCTCCTTCAAGGACAGATCACTGACTTGCTCTCCTCTCGTCTTGTTCCCGACCTCGCCCATCCATGCATCCTTCTTCCGGAGGACTCAGTGGCTTCCTTCAAGGGAGAACGATTCTGAAGAGGGCAAATAAGCAGTGGCTCATTCCAAGCACATGGTTAATCCATGATAACTGAAGACAGTGTCACAGGGGCTGTGGTTGGTGGGCTTGACTGAGTGGGGGGCTGTGGCGAGCTGCTCTTGGATTTGGAGTCTCGTTGGTTAGTTGTTATTTAGCTTCAGGAAGTCAGCCGTATCTCCTGCCAGCAGTTCCTTTATAAATCTGTGCTCACTGCCCCCAGGAATTGCCCGAGCGGGAACTGGTTAAATTTATCCTCAACCTTCCCCACCTCCAGGTCTAGAAAAAAATGAAATTTAAATCCTGCCCTTGGCAGATACCTAACAGGTCAAATGACACAGTGTACATGACTCTTTTGAGGAGTAAACAGCCATGCAGATATAAGCTTTATTATTGCCTTCTTCAGAGAGGATAGCGCATCGTGGTACATATTTATTTAAGTTAATTACAAGGTGAAGAGAGAGGATATTCATGGCATCTCTACAAACTGTTCCTTAGATTTCAAGAATGCTACTTGCCTGGCAGATTTTGATGAAAGTGTCAAGTGGGCTGGAGAGCCGCAGGAAATCAAGAGAGATCTACAGGTAATTTCTACAATTGGTTTACTTTCCCATCTCTCTGCTTCCTTATTTGTTTCGTTCCTTCCCTTATTGCCTGTGGTCAATTAGACATCATTTCTATTTTAACTCTTCTAACTGACTTTCAAGGTGTTCCCTCAGGGTTCACTGCCTTCATGCCCTTGCAGACAATGGCATCTCTCTGGGCTGCAGAGGCTCCTTTCTGTATCTCTTTGGTTCCCTCTCTTCCTCCACCGGCGAGATAGTAAATGAATTGAGCATGCCACACCGCTTCTAAAATTACCTCCAGGAGATATGTCCAGGTGACCTCCAGAGTTCCTGCAGGAGGTATTTCCTGCCTGAAGACAAAGCAAATGGGATTTTTCCTCCCCACTCCTTCGAACTTGTATGCTGAACTCCTAGGAGGGCCAGATACGGAGGCCTTCTGAAACCCATGGGAGGGATGGGATTGATCCCCCGCTTGAAAGAGACTAATCTTGGCCACAGAGGTGAAGAGCCTGAAATAGCTGTTTTTCCTGGGAGGAGACAGCAGAAACAGCCTGACCCCTGGGGACCAAAGCTCCCAGATTGACTCTGACACTGTCCAGGCAACTTGGTCCTGGGGGCTTGTCCAGGATGCAGAACGTTCAACCCTGGGGCAAGAGCTCTCCAGCCACCTCTGGCCCTTGCTGCTAAAAGGATTTTAGCTCCTTCCTTGAGTGGTGCCTTCTCTGCTATAGGAAGTGCCTATGCTGGCCCCCTCCTTGGCCTTTTTTCCCTGTCATGGCCCAAACTCTTGGGGCTGTCATCCTGTCCCATGGACCTGGACTGGCTCCTTTTTCTGCCACTTGACATAGTCCCAACCCAAAGTCCCAGTTTCCAGCCAGAGTCCTGGCATTTCCCTTGTTGAAAACAGTTTTCCTCTCCTCTGTTTATTGACATTCGATCCAAACTTTAAGGTCCAGCTCAAATTCCTCTTCCTCTAAGCAGTTTTCCCTGACCTCTCTGACCTAGGATTATCTTTTGCTCCTTATAATCCTAAACCATGGGGACTATATACTGTCTTGAAGGGTTCTCCATGCTGAACCCGTGTCTTCTGTCCCTACCAAGCCTGTGGACTCCTCGAGATTTCTCTCACTTTCCATTTGGTCATAACCTGCATTACTCCTCCATACAAAGTGATGATTCACAGATAACTTTGTGAATTGTGACTTGATTTGTGGTTTTCCTGCAGGCCCTTGGATGGCTGGTCCTGTATGTGGTAAGGAAGGGAGAACTCCCTTTTGAGACACTGAAGACTAAAAGCAATGAAGAGGTGATTCGACTTTCTCCAGATGAGGAAACTCGAGACCTCATTCGTTGCCTGTTTAACACAGGAGACAACGTGCAGGGGCACCTGAACGGCCTGCTGGGTCATCCCTTCTTTTGGAGTTGGGAGAAGTAAGTAAAAGTTTATTGCATATTCCAGGCCTCCTCCAGAAGGGAGACAGTGAGTGTATTAGTCATGATATCTATCTATCTATATCCAAATGATAAATATAAATATAGATTTATTTAAAAATATTTTATTTATTTACTTATTTAGAAAGTCATAAGTAGATGCTGTGCTGAGGAGGGAGCCTGATGTGGGGTGCTGTCTCAGGACCCTGAGATCATGACCTGAGCTGAAATCAAGAGTCAGGCCCTTTAATCAACTGAGCCACTCAGGTGCCTATATATATATATATATATATATATATATTTTTTTTTTTACTTAGGAGCTTAAATAAGGAAATGGCTCATGCAGTATGAAGGCTGAGAATTCTCACCATCTGCCTCTGTAAGCTGAAGACCCAGGAGAGCCCACAGTGTAACTGAGTCCAAATCCAAAGGCCTGAGGGTCAGGGGCACTGAATGTGGGTTCCAGTAAGAGTTTGAAGGCCTGAGAGCTGGAAGGGCTGAGGCCAGGAGAAGACTAATGGCCCAGCTGAAGAAATCAGATAAGCAGGGGTCAATTCCATCTTTTGTGGGTTGGATGAGGCCCATTCACATTGGGGATGGTGATCTGCCTTACTGAGTTCAGCAGTTCAGATGTGAATCTCGTCTAGAAACAGCTCACAGATACACCTAGAATAGTATTTAATCTGGGCCCCCTGTGGCCAGACAATTTAACACCTAGTATTAACCATAGTGGTAGGGTGGTATGGGAAGGAGTCAGGCTGAGAGTCAACAGACCCAGGCTCTCCTCTCAACTTGGCCTTTCCTAGCTGTGTATCTTTGGAACAGAGACTTAACCTCTCTGAATTCTGGTTTTGTTTTCTGAAGAAGAGAAAAAGAGGGAGAGAGAGAAAGAGGGAGAAAGACGCCCGCCTGCCTCTCCCATCACGCAGAATTTTTAGAGAATTTTTAGAGAATGGTTTTACTACTTTCATCAAACACCAAAATGTAACATTGTTTTCTTTCTGAAAAGAGAGGGCAGAATGGAATGACCATGATAATTCTGTCATCCTCAGCCGCTTTAGGACCCTGAGAGATGTGGGAAATGAATCTGACATTAAAAAGGGTGTGGTTAAAAGCAAGATTGTCCAACTACTGCAACCTGAAGAATCTGAATTTTCCAGAAGTTTTGCCAAGTGGACTTCTAAGGTATGAACCATTCCTATGGTGTGGAAATTATTCCAGGAATAAGGATCTATGTAATGTGTTATGTTAGTTTTTCTAACTTTTTTTTATATTGTAGGCCTGGCTCAACCAAGGGGTGGAAAAGGTGATTTTCCTGCCTTCCTCTCCAGCCCAGTCCCCCTCTGCCCTGTTGGGTCAGAGGCCAGGCCTTCCTGACAGACAGACTCTCACCTAGACTCCTCCTTAGGATTCCCTTATCCCAGGCCAGGAGACTTTTTCCTTTCTTAGGGCTCTTTCCCTCCAGCGCTGGTTCTGAGAGGCCTGGCTAATGATCCTATTACCGTTGGGACAAGAGTAGCTGATTAAATGAGGTTATCCCCAAGGAGCTGCCCCACCGTGAGGCTTCTCATCCAGGGAGAGCCTGGCGGCCGCCGCTATATACAACCCAGCTCTGAGCAGCTGCACACACCTCCCTTCCGCCTGAGAAAACACACCATGAAGAAAAGGGGATCTTTCAAATTCCTCCTCTTCAGGAAAGGGTCCATCTAATGAACTAAATATTAAAACATAACAAATCAGTCATCATCTCGATCTAGTCAGTGCTATCAGAACTTTCATTAAAAAAAAATATATTTATTTATTTATTTACTTGACAGGCAGAGATCACAAGCAGGCAGAGAGGCAGGCAGAGAGAGGGGCGGGGGGAGCACGCTCCCCGCGGAGCAGAGAGCCTGATGTGGGGCTCGATCCCAGGACCCCGGGACCGTGACCTGAGCCGAAGGCAGAGGCCCCAACCCACTGAGCCACCCAGGCGCCCCTCATTTTTTTTTTTTTTTTTAAGATTTACTTATTTATTTTCAGAGAGAGAGAGAGTGAGTGTGTGTGTGTGTGAGAGAGAGAGCAGGGAGGTAGGAGGGGGAGAGGGAGAGGGAGATGGAGAGAGAGAGAGAGAGAGAGTCTTAAGCAGACTCTACGCTGAGCATGGAGCCCAAGGCAGGGCTGCATCTCTGAGATCAGGACCTGAGCCAAAACCAAGAGTTGGATGCTTAACCAACTGTGTCACCCAGGCGCCCCCCAGAATTTTCATTATTATTACTTAGCAGACATCTATCAAGTACCGGTTACTTGCTGAACCTACGCGAGCCCATGGGCATGTGAAGCAGAATACAGAATGGTCCATGGGGGGCTGAGAGACCCACAGAAGCACTGCCTGTGTGATGCACGCTGGGGAGCTCAGAGACTGTGCAAAGCACTATGGGAAAATCCATAATCCTCAGGTCTTTGACTGAGACCCATAGCTCTATCCTATGCCTGATCTAGGACGGCTTCTCCCACACCTCTTTGTTTCTGGGTCTCATTTTGCTTTCCTTCCCTCACTTACCTCTAGATGATACATCACACTCATAATTGCTGCTTTGGCGTCCATCTTTCCTGCTCCCCTTTAAATTCCACAAGGGAAGAGACTATCCATTGTCTTGTCCACTGCTGAATTCCTGGCATGGAGTAAAAGTGCCATAACTCTGCTAATGAATGTCTATAAAACTTCAGCAAAGGGGTGACTAAGCGGCTCAATCAGTTAAGCATCTGCTTTCAGCTTAGTTCCTGATCCCAGAGTCCTGGGATTGAGCCCCATGTGGGGGCTCTCTGCTCAGCGGGGAGTCTGCTTCACCCTCTCCCTCTGCCCCTTCCCCCTGCTTTCTCTCTCTCGCTCTCAAATAAATAAATAAATAAATAAATAAATTTTTTTTTTTTGGAAGAAAAACTTGAGCTGGAATGTAAACTTGTAGGAACAGAGATGTTGGAAACCAAAGCAGATAACAATAACAGCTGACAATTCTGTGGTGCTGACTAGACGGTGGTTACAGTTCCCAGGACTTTCTGAGAGTTTGCACAGTTAATCCTTATAACAGCCTTTGAGCTAATTACCTTCATGTCACAGGTGGGTCCACGGAGGCACAGACAAAGCATTTTTCCAAAGGTCCAGAACCAGCCTCAGGATCTGCTGCCAGGCAGTCTGGCTGCTGAGGCCGTGTGCTAAAGCTGCTCACTGCAGGACACTGTGATGCCATCAAGTCCACCAGTGCATTACACGGCTGAGCTCATGGAGACTCAGACGCGTGATCCGAAATAGGCAGGGCTGGAGAGGTGGAGGTTGGCACAACCGGGATGGAAAACCCATTCTTTCTTTTCCCAATTCATCAGTTTTTTCCCCTAAGCTTCACTGACTTACGTTGAATTCTGAGGACTTCAAGTCTTATCTCTTCGTTCCCCCGTGAGATTTTGATTTGCTTTTTGTGACTTGCCCATTTTCATGGTTGGTTGTTCAGTTTTGTGACTGCATGGAGAAGCCAAGTTTTCCCGTGTTTGCTGCTGCCTCCTCTCCAGAGGCCGCCCCATCCTGCCACACAGACACGCTTTCTAAGTATGACAGCTATCGACACGGGTGCATGCACAAAGAGAGAGGCATTGACTTGAGAGAAGCTGCTCTGGGACACTTAGAGGCAAGGAGAAACATGACACCTCTGGAAATAGAATTCAAAACAAAGCCAAACAAAAACAAGGACACTCGTTTTGGCAATGGCTGCCAGGTCTGATGTTAGTCTGAATGAATCCTCTTCAAAGGGAAAACGTAACCAATTACCAACTCGGGTGGATGGCCACAAGGATAAAAATACTGCGTAGTATGATGAACAAATTTCTCAGTACAGTAGCCAAAGAATTCCTAAACCATGTTTCAATACATTTAATTTCTCATGGAAAATAGTTCGCTTGGAAAATAGAGACTGGAATGTAGAGTTACTTATGATCCTTCATCCAGACAAAACTATGGATAGCATTTTGGTGTATGGTATTTACTTCCATTTGTTTCTTTCTATTAATTTGCATTATTAGTTAGTGGTAATTTGGGCATATATCCAAATTTGCAATTTGCCTCTTTGTATTAACGTCCCATGAGGATTTATTCTGTGGTGCTACCACATTTTTGTGTAATGTTTTGTGTTTTAGATTGACAGACATGTTATGCGTGAAATGAATAAGTATTATAGAGCTAACAAAAAGCGTACTTATAAGAACACTCTGAGTGATCTGTTAAAGTTCATCCGGAATTTGGGAGAACATATTAATGAAGACAAAAATAAAGAGTGAGTATTATTTCTGTTCCTGGAAGTCATATATGACACGAGGATGATTAAAAAATCCCATTCTAAATTGATATCTGCTATTTGTTAGAAGGAAGAAAATTTATTTTGATGAAATGAAAAGTAATTCCTTTCCCCTATTTGGAAAAGGGCCAACACAAGGGTCTTACAATGAATGGACATGCCCAGCAAGCTCTCCTCTTCCTTCTTAGCTTTTGCTGAGCCCTCTTGAACAGAAGGGTGGTAACTCCCTTGTGGGGAGCAATGTTGGGGACCGAGCAGCTGCGTAAGGTGAATGTAGTGCTGTAAACATCTAAAAAGTAGACCTGTGTTAGTGAAATCAGATTTTGCGACCCAAAATGGTAGCTGCAAACTCACAAAAAAACTTGCAGTTTTTATGGCTCTTTTGGATTTTGGAACTGTAGGTAAGAGATTGTGAAACTGTATCATCTTCATGTTCTGGATGATAAAACTGGGGTTCACAAAAATTAAGTTGCTAGTTAGCTGAAGAGTTGTTAGGACATGAATCTTGTTTTGTTGGATTCCAAAATCCTTACTTGCTCTGCTCTAGAAATGGAGGGAGCAAAGAAATCTCCAGGCCCAGATGCTATAAAGGGGGAAGACGATCTGGGGTGCAATCACGTGAATATATTTATGTTTCATTTCAGCATGAAGTTGAGAATTGGAGAACCTTTCCAGTATTTGCAAAAGACATTTCCCGATCTGGTCATGTATGTCTATAAAAAACTACAGAACACGGAATACAGAAAGCATTTCCCCAAAAACTCACAATCCGAAAAAGCACTGGCGTGATGCAGGTCAGCCTCTGCATGGTGGTTGAGGTTTTCGAGTTCAGGGAGCCCCTTATTTAGCTGTGTGATCCTGGGCACATCACAATTCTCTGGGCCTCTTAATTAACCTGATTGCTGGTGAGGATGTGACAGGTCCTGGCACAGTGTTCAGTATTCCCCACATGTTTATGACCAGACAAATACGCTCAAACTACCCTCCGGGACCTTCTCACAGGTAAAGCTTACTGGCAGGAGCTGGGGGGTGGGGTACCCTGCTAAGACTTCTTTTGTCAGTGGAACCAAAGGAACCAGTGCCTAGACCTCTAGGGCTGGATTATCTCATTCGGTTCTCCCAATGGCCTTGCAAGCTAGGGTTTCTCATCTCCACTGAAGAACTAGCACACCTGGGGCACCTGGCTGGCTCAGTCGGTAGAGCATGCGACTCTTGGTCTTGGGGTTGTGAGTTTGAGCCCCATGTTGGGTGTGGAGATTACTTAAAAAATAAAATCTTTAAAAAAAACAAAACACCAAAAAACCCACAAGAACTGGCAGACCTGAGACTCAGAGAATTGGACCTACTTGCCCAAGATCATACAACGTGCACAGAGCCCTATATAAATGCATGTCGTGTTATTGTTATCTCTCATGTGGGTACTTTTGAACTTAATTACTAGCCCAGGGATCTTCTGGATGGATCCCAAAAGGAATATGTCAAGGGGCTTCCAGGAAGCTCATTCATTCACTGAGTCGACTTATTCATTCATTCACTCTTTCTTGATCACCAAGAATAAGCCTAGGAACTGTATGAACTGCATTGTATGAACTGCATTCCTTCTAGAACCACCTACATTGGTTTTTCCATGACCTTATGGCAGTAGTTCTCAACTGGGGGCAGTTTTGCCCCTGAGGGGCCATTTGGCAGTGTCCGGGGATGCTTTTGGTTTCAAATCTGGGAGATAAGGGGGTGTTACTGGCATCTGGCAGGTGGAGGTCAGGGATAATGCCAAATATTCTACGATGCTCAGGATAGCCCCCCACAGCATGGAATTATCCGGAAGCCTAAAATATCAGTGGTGCCAAGACTGAGAAACTCTGCCTTAAGGGATTGGGACACCTTGGAACTGACTTGGGGCCCAGGACCATGGATTATGTGGACCACCTCACAGAGGAGTGACTTGGATTTGTTTTCTTGCTTCTGAATTTGTAGTGAAACAATTCCAGTGTCACCTCCCAAGAAGTCCCCTGAACACCCTCACTTTCCACACCCCAGTCCAGGGGCTCTCTCTGGCTCCCTAGCACCCATAGCCACACCAGAGCATGCTTCTCTCCACCTTCGCATGCTTCTTCCCTACTGGAATGTAAGATCTTAAGGGCCGATATAGCAGATAAATAGATATCGATATCTATATATCTATATATCTATATAGCTATCTATATAGATATATAGATATAGAAAATGAGACAGATATCTATAATTTATTTGTATCATTAATGCCTAGCAAAAGTCTGCCACATACATATTCATTGAAAAATGAATGAACCATCTTCATACATGAATAATAATGCTACCTTACATTTTAATGGTGCTTGATAATTTATAAATTACACCCACATATTTTCTCTCTTAGTTTTCAAAACAATCCTGTGAGGTAGGTCCTGTTATCCTCGTTTTGCAGGTAAGGATAGAGACATGTTGATTTACTCTAATACATAGCTAGGAAGTACCAGTGTCTTGATTTGAGCATATTTTTGGCATTAAGTCTGATGTATTTTCCACTCATTCTTGTTGTGGTGGTCAAGGTGGAGCTTTGTAATGGGAAGATCAAGGAAAACAAAACGAAACAAACACGGTATCATAGGTTCTTTCTGAAGAGATGGTGGCCTGAACCAGACTTCATTGACTTCATTTAAAGTCGAGAAGTGCTGGAGTTAAAGTAAACAAAATTGACGTTGATGTCTTCCGCTCATCCGTAACTGTATGGGTCATTCTCTCCTTGCTAAAAAAAGGGAAGTACTGGAAGAAAGAAATTTTAGGCTGTTCTGTAAGGTTTTAGGAGCAGGAATATTGCTTTGGGTTTTAAAATTACGTTTTGGTTTTCCAATTTGTTGTAAATCTCTGGATACATCAATCAAAATGCCCATTTATAAAGCATATTTAATAAAACTTGGAATCATCTAAGTGTGATTTTCTCAACGTGATATTTTCACTAGAAAGAGTAGTGATAGCTATAATAGAAAATGTTCAATGAGTAATGCCTGGGTAAGTTTTAAGAAAGGGCAACTTGCTCTTTAGTAATGGGAAAAGGAGCCTATTTTCAGCCCTCCAGTAATTCTGTAACAATAGGCAGCTTGGGTGTCTTTGTAGAGAGGGAAGGAAGGAACTCAACGTTTTAACCTTTGCTTTAATTCTCTGAAGGTTTCTGTGGACACTCTGCAAATATTTCTCATGCAGTCGTCATTATCACAAACATTTAATTGAGTATGTGGCTCGTGTTAGGTGCTCTGTTAGGCAAGGTGATTCTATGCCTGAGCTTGTCAGGCAGAAGCATCAGTTACATAGAGTTGAGGGGAGGCTGCCTGCCTGGAATGTACTGGACAAGCCCCATAGGGGAGAAAATTACAGTAAGGTCACAATCTCCACTTCTTGAGCACCTGCTGGTTTCCAGTGCCGAATGCTTTGCTTTCATACATGACATCTGGCAACACCCAGGGCAATGCTATGAGATGCAGTTATTCCCATTTTACAGAATAGGCAACTACTGTGCAGAAAGAATTGATAAGTTGCCCGAGTTCATGTACGTGGTAAATGGAAGAGCCAGGATGCAAAACCCAGGTCTGCAAGCCCATAGGGTGTGGGCTTGCTGGAGTGCCAGACACAGTGAGTTCGGACGGGTTGGATGATCACTGTGAGTAGTGGTTATTGGGGCTTTTATCTGTTCCCCCAGTGAAGCCGAGATGGTCAAAGTTACCCATGACCTTCATAGCACCAAATCCAAAGGCACGTCTCTGTTTTCATCTAACAGCTGGCTACTCTTCTGCGTTGTCACCTGTCCTTAGCACCATGCTCACCTGCTTTTTCTCTCCATTGATTGCTCCTCCACAGTGTCCTTTTTTGCCAGCTCCTTCTCTGCTCATCCCTAAACATTGAGTGTCCCTGACTTAATCTCTGAACAACTCACCTTTTCCCTTTCTCCTTAGATGACCTCTTCAAATACCGTGACTGACTGATATCACAAACTGGCAGATGATATCCATGTTTGGAAATGCAGGTTTATCTATGACTCTTCCTACCATCCTCTGCCTAATTGCCCCCAAATTATTAGTTTTGTTTCTTTTTTCCAACCTCTGAACATCCAATCTATTAAGTCCAGTTGGTTCCCCATCTACAATAAATCCCAAATCTGCTCACAACATTTAGTGTCCACTGGCTGGGTCAAGCCGCCATGATTTTTTTTTAATTGGGCTGAAGCATAAGCCTCAAACTGATTATTGGGTTTCCATACTTGTTCCCTAACAAGTATTTCCTCTAAAAAAAAAAAAAAGAAAAGAAAAGAAAAGAAAAAAGAAGGAAATCAGATCAGGTTACTTTCCTGCTTAAAATCTTTCAATGACTTTTCATTGCAGTTAGGATAAAACCAAACAGTCACCATTACATGCACGGCCCATTGCTTTCATTCTCCTGTCCTGTAGGCTCACCTCCTCCCATCCTGACTTTATCTCTGTTCCTCAAGAATGCTGACACCATTGCCTTCTCAAAGGCCGTGGCTTTTGTGGTCCCCTCTGCCTGGAGTTTTATCCTGCTGATCTTGGCGTGGTAATTCCTTTTCCTATGCTAGGCCTCAACTACTGTCCTCTAACAGGACTTCCTTCTCCAGAGTTGTTCACAACTGTCATTATTTTTGAAGACATAGCACTAATCATTACCGGAAATTATCAAACATATTTGTTCACACTTAGAAAACAACTTCTTCCACATCGTGAAGGAAATCAGGAAAATCTTATCAGGAAATAACCTGGCATCTACCTAATTCCATAGCTTAACCTACACAAGTGGACATATTTCCCCTGAAAGGGAGAGCTGGGCGTGTTTGGACTTCTTACCAAGGTGGGCCGGGTTGGGTTGCTGGGCTACGTGCGAGCAGGAGACACCAGGGAGCGCTGGTTGCTGAAACCTGGGACTGCATCAGGTAGGAAGTCCAGACGAAGGTTGGGGGTTGGTGTACTAGTTCACCCGTTAAAAGTCAGCACCTTGGAATGATTTCCATGGGCAGGGCTCTCTACCCTGAGGCCAATCAAGTGCTTGGGGTAAGTCCTGAGTTTCACAGGCCTGGAGTGCCCCCTGCAGGCCAAAACTGGCTGACAGCCCGCGACTGCACAGGCCTTGGCTTTGCGGATGGGGAATAACCCGGCACCCGGATCCGGGCAAGGTCCGAGAGGCGCGGTCACAGGAGGGGCCTATTAGGAGTACAAAGCATCTGCCTAATTCTAAGCCTTAACCTACACACACGCGCATCGTACCCTGAAAGCGGAGGCCTCACCGCTTTACCAGGGCTAGATCTGGTGGGCTTGGCTGGGGTAACCTCCAATAAGAGACTCCTGGGAGAACTGATGGCACCAGAAGCTGGGACCCTATCAGGTAAACAGTTCACCGGGGGCCTGATTGTTGCCCACTTCAGCGGACGCCTCAGAGCAGTCTGGCGGGGGAAGGGCAGAGGGGTGGGCTCCCTCCACCCTCAAGACAATGCAGGTGTTTGGGGGATGAGCCCCAGTTTCAAAGGCCTGAGGGTCCCAGCGGCCCAAGTGCAGCTGATGGGGGGGAAACACACACACACACACACACACACACACACACACACACACACACACACACGTGTGTGTGTGTGTGTGTACATATATGTACATATATGTATTTATATATGGCACGTGGGAGGCGCAATGAGGCTCGCCAGGGACCAGGAACAGGGCAAGCATCAGGACAGGCTCGGGACCAGCAGAGAGCTGCTGGAGGTCCGAAACGTGGGCCTAATCTCAAGGCCAGTCTAACAATGTGGAATATTTACTCTAATGCAAAGCGGGAGTTTTTCAACGGCCTTGTGAGGGAGGGGCCAGGCAGGCATGAAAGGGCATCCTGGTTTTGGAGACACCTGGGAGTCCTCGTTCCCGGAGAAGCCCTGGACCCCATCCGACAAGCACGGAGTCAGTCACCCATTTGCAGCTGCAGTCTCAGGGCGATTTTCAGAATGTTGGTTCCCTCCATGCCTGAGGCTCTGCTGGTGGTTACGGCCTGGCTGGAGCTTCGGATTGGCCCGAGGCTGGCTTATGGTGTCTACTGCGCATGTGTGGGCTGTGCTGGCTGGGGTAGCCAAGCCTCTGGAGCGCCCGCTTCCAGAGCCGCTGGGTCCCCGGAGCGGGCTTTCGGGGTTACAAGGCAACGGCCTGGTGATGAGCTT